GCCCCGGGGGGGGGGGGGGGGGGGGTTGGGGAGCCAATGGGAGACTACGAGGCCTGAGGGATCCGTGGGGGCTGAGGGAGGCAGCAAGAGCTAGAGACAGTGGGGGGCAAGGGAGGAGGTTGGGTGGCAAGTGGAGGCAGCAGAGGTCAGAGGCACCAAAATACAACTGTACATTATTTTTTGTTATTGAGTCTGCAAAAAAACAAAAACCTACATAAATCAATTCCAATGATTTGGAAACATATGTGCATATTTATTTATTTTTCCTAAAGTATTTTAGGAAAATTTGTCAGAGCAGCCACCAGCAAGAGTTGGCGGCCGCATTGAGGTCACCAAAAATGTTGTGCGAACCCCTGCTCTAGGCTTTTAATGGAGTTTAATCGCTTAGTGTCTGCTCCCATTGGCTTCACTGAGAGCAGCATCAGGTCCTAAATAAAGGGAAAGTCAAAGCTTAAAGAAATAAGAGTGAAGTCAGTAATAGGAGACTGATTATACTCAATTACCAGTTAAGATGGGACTACTGCTTTTTCAGAGGAAAGACACAGCTTGACATTTTTGTAAGATAAATACCATCCTGGTCAGGAGACGGATGTTTCATTTTGTGCAACTTTGTCCTACAAGTACCGACAACTGGAATACACTTGCTTCAGAATACTATTTGACTGTAAAAAGATAAGCTCTCTTCATAACAATAACAACCATTCCTCCCTCCTTTAATGTATGTATGTATGATGTCAGAATGTATGCATCCGAAGAAGTGGGTTGTAGCCCACGAAAGCTTATGCTCTAATAAATTTGTTAGTCTCTAAGGTGCCACAAGTACTTCTGTTCTTTTTGTGTGATAACGGTTACTTTAAATATGAAGGTGGGTGCCAGACTTTCAAAAAGGTTCTAATTTGTTAGCCCAAGTAACGTAAAAAAATAAGTTATAGAATGTTGGCTACTTTTACCCATGACTTTAAAATTTTGTTTTTCCAAGTAGTAAACTGCAATTACTCAGAAATCCTGTTAAACTTCTGTTTGAAAAGCAATCCCCTTTTCCAGTTTTATTATAAAGCTGCTTTTTTAAAATCCCCTTATTACATAATTATTCAGTGCTCCAATGAAACACTTTAAAAGCCCCCTTACAGTAGTTTTACCTATCAACGCTACCTATTCTTTATGGAATAATAGAAATCAAGATGCTCCCTATAGTGTTTCCTGCAGCATTTCACCCTAATTTTAAGTAGTAGTCTGGTGCACTCCAAATTAGGAAAATCCTACCTTTTTAACCTGACCCTCTCCTTTTTTTTTTTCTGCAGAGACCAACAACTATGAGAAGTGAGCCCCCAGTTTAGCTTCATCTATAAACTGAAAGGTGACATCAACCCAGCCAAACCTAACAGATTTCAGAGAAGTAGCCGTGTTAGTCTATATCAGCAAAAACAATGAGGAGTACTTGTGGCACCTTAGAGACTAACAAACTTGTATCAGCATAAGCTTTTGTGAGCTAAAACCCACTTCATCAGATGCAGAGTATCTCTGAAACACTTGCTCCTTTCAGCTAATGACAATATTACCTCTCGCCCGCTAGATCTGCCAAGTCTCTCACCTGAGAAGAGATGTTTAACTATTACACACGGAGTTTAGTGTCTGATGGAAGATTTTGCTTAATAGCCCTGGAGAGGTCAGGGATATTTCATTTTGCTCTCCTCTCACTGGGAGGGCACCAGTCTGAAAGACCGAACGGGGGAGGAGACTGTAATAACCCCAGCAGCTGGGCCGCTGTTTATAAACAACCACCAGGGAGACGCACACGCCAGGACAGACGTCAGGAGCAGAAGCAGCTTTGGGGCTCAGAGTGAATTAAGGTCTCAGAGGCCAGTGACCATTTAATGCTGCAGTTCCTGACTGTACAAGTTAGGGCTTTATCACCCTGCCCCCCCTTCCAATACACAGCCTGCATCACCCTCTCCCCACCCCCAACTCTCAGCCCCTCAGCCCCGCCCCCTATCTCTCAGCCCCCTCACGCCCCGCCCCTCTCAGCCCCGCCCCCTTCACTCTCAGCCCCGCCCTACCCTCATTCACGGCTCCTCCTCGGCCCCAACACCGCCCCGCCTCTCCCCAGTGCACCCCCCGTCCGCTGCCCCCAAGCAGCGCCCTGCTCCAGCCCGAAGCACGGAGACAGCGCCTATCCCCCGCTCCCAGGGCTGCTCCGCCCCCTTCTCCTCAGCCCCGCCATATTGCGCAGGAGCTAATTCCCCCCGGCGCGCCCGCCGGCAACCCCCCTCCTCCCCTCGCACTCACCGCTGCGGCCGCGATGCCCCCCACCGGCTGACTGGGTGGAGGGGTCCGGGGCGGGAGTCAGAACCTTCTAGGCCAACAGGGAGCCAGCAGAGCTGCCGCCGTGCCTCAGGAGGGCGGAGCTCCTTCACAGACTCCCCCGCCAAGCGCACTCTCTGCAGCGCATGCGCTGGCCGCTCCCGGGCCTCTGTGACCTGACGCATGCGTCGTCTGCGCGCTTCTGGTCATCCACCGCTAGGTGGCGGGAAAGTCCGTTTTAGAGTCACCTGCCGCTCCTGCGCCACAACGAGGCGGACGCTTGCGGAGCACGTCAAGTTGTGCTGAGGGGGCTCCCTGTTCTCCCTGCCAGGCCCTGCACAGCAACCCCGGGCCCACCCCACCGCCCTCCGCCTAAGGCTGAGACCCACTTTCTCCTCAGCGCCAGCCCCAGCAGCCCAGCCTGCTACTTGAGGGGAGCAGCCATTCAGTGGCAGGCAGGCATCGCGGTGCTGCCCCCCACGCCCAGTGTTGAGGACCCGCCTTCCCAGGCCAGCCCACCACTGGATGCTGTAGTCACATAAACAAGGGGAAGAAGAAATTGTCTGTTTCCCCCCTTGATGCAAGAACAGAGGCAGTGTGGTATAAAGGTGGCATGAAGCTACCTTATGCCCCCTCCACCTAGGACCAGCAATGGACCAGGCTGGTTTCTGGTGTAAGTTAGAGCAGCCTCAGGACTACTCCCATTCACACCCCGCTGCCTGTGGACCCCAAGAGGCAGTTTTAACATCCAAGACTGGCCTCTCGCTACATCCTTCTTGGGGAGGGCTGTGAGAGGGAAGTATCCTAGAGTTACTAGGTAGGAATATAGGTATTTCAGCCTCTAGTGGCCAAAGAAATAGTCCCTTTAATTAAACACTATATAAAATAATACCACGCATTTTCCCTTCCTTCTCTAGTTGCCTCTCCTTTGGAAGCAAGATTTCTATAATTGGCAGCTGGTATCTTTCTTCAGGGCCTAAACATGTTGCTGGATCTTTCTAAATAGACCTGTTGTTGCATGCAAAAGAACATCAAGAGAATACTGAGGAAAAGTACATTTTCAATCCTAATTGAAATGACCGTATCCTTTTATTATCTACTAGATATCAAATTTTAGGACTGAATCCTAATACTTATTTTATTTGAGAGTTTAAATGAGACAAAGGTTAATCAGCCTGACGTTTACAAATTACACAGGAGAGAGATTTAGCTCTACTTACCTGATCACTTTTAAAATAGAGTACTTGTGAGAGTAACATATAGGAAGGTTTTTACACCAATCTTGATGGTCTAGGTGGATTCTGTTATTACTACACAAATAACAATGCAAATACAGGAGTGAGTTAGTGCCCACAATGCAGTCTTGTTCACTAAGAAAATACTTGATTGACATCCTGCATAGATTTCAGCAGTTAACAGCTGGTCTGTTCTTGCATGAGAAAAACAAGTGTTTCTCTATGTTTATATTTATTCATGAACAATCTGAATTCATTACCCACTGCAACCATACACTTCTTCTAATGCCCATGGATTTCTTGGCATTTGCATGACAGTAATTAGCTGACCATAACATTTTACCGTATCTTAATATAGTTGTAGACACATACAAAATCTTTAACTTGGGATAATTAGCTTTATGTGCATGTATTATATGTTGCAGGATTTATTTTTTTGCATGTAGTGGATGGCTTTTACTTTTGTTTTGACCTGGAAAGGTATTGTCAGCATTGGTGTAAGTGTAAGAATGGGTTATGTTGCATGATTTTCAAAAGTGAAACTTTTTTTTCTACAGGAAATCCTCAATTGATTAGAATCCAACTTCTTGAAGTACAGCTGCGAACTAAGGAAACACAGTAAAGAGCTAACAAGAAAAATTTGAAGTAAATATGCATTATACTATTTTCATTTAATCTTCAAGTTATTATATAACATAAAATAACAATAAGAAATCAGTTTATTACAGAAAATCACAAATATATTCTTACCTATAAAGTACTTGACTGCATTATAATCAACACTTCAAGAAAGAAAGAGAGAGAGAACAAAACCATGGTTAGGTTCTTTGTTGTACCAAAAAATTAATTGCATGCACAATTTCTCTTTAAATAAACTGTTATTAAAAATACCAAAAACTTTTGGCATTACAGTTACTCTCTGCAGACAAGAATACAGGGTAGATAGTAAACAGAGATGAATGGAGATTTATAACTGTTGGCATCCAAATCTGCCAGTTATATGCTTATCCTTGGTGCACTGCCATTAACCATTGGAATACTATAAGGAATAGGTCTGATTGCACTTAACTGATATTCAAATTGCCCTGTCTTTTGTTACGCTTTCTCTGTAGAAAAGCAAGTACATGGTTTTCTCTATTGAGGTCGCAACAACTTACAAAAGAACTTTGTGCTTAACTTTACACACTGAGAGAAATCCTATTGTCTTTAAAGTTAGGCAAATTTCCGTTTGCAGGATCAGAATATGTGTTTTGTAAAATGCTGTATATTAAGAATAATAGAAGTCAGATATGAGGGTCGGGGAAGGGACAGGACTTTTTCAAACTAGCCACAATTCAAGTTCCACCAACTTTTGATGCTAATATGAAATGTCATTCAAAATAGATAATGTAGGTGTTCATAGTATGATCATCCTCCTTTATGTGCTTTGATCAGCTTTGACATTCACACCATTATCATTAGGCTGCAGAGTAACTATCACCCTCCACTCAGAGATTAATGGAAACAGTTCATGCCTTTCATAGCTATTGCTTCATGATGACTGCACTGCAGACTCTGGCAGGTTACCAATGCATTCATTTTCATTTGGTTCAAATAGTGAAGATTATTTTTATTTTTAAAATTGTAAAAGCTACAGATGAACACATTTTTAATGTGTTCACTAATTTTGGGTTCCTCTATTTTTGGGGGGCCAACTTGAGACATCTTTTGCTTGAATTTTAGAGGCCCTGTAGACCAGCAGTTTAGTTACCTGAAAGTTAGGTAAGAGAATAGAAAGATGAAAGGAGAGAGGGAGGAATGTAAGAAGAGATGGAAAAAAAGAGAATAGAAGGGAGGAAAATTGAGGTATAGATTTCTGGTGAGAGTATTGGTATAGATTCATATTGATGCATTTTCCTCCAGAGAAAATGGAAGAATTTAATTACGGTATAGAACTTTTCCTATGGAGTCTAAGCTCAGCTGCCAGATCTGTACCCAGACCTAAAGGAATCATTCTAAAAGAGAAGAAACGTGATTTGACAATATCATCTTCTGAAGCATCGGTTGCTTAAAAAAAAAAAGTTTTTAAAGCGAGCTTAGAAACTTTGTCACAATACATATTGATACAAAATAAAAAAAAACTAAGCAGATTCTTATGATATTCCAAAATATGGCAAGCACTTTAGTGGCAACCACGATATTACAAGAGAGTTTCTTTGATATCAAACACTTTGCTTATGAAGACAACAGCTGTAATTGGCACCCATTGAACCAGCTTGACATGATATCTTGCCCTGGGATGGCAGGATTTTGCTTTCAATAAAAGTTTCTGGTATCCTCTCTGGGTAGGTGCTGCTGTCTTCATTGCACTGATTTTTCTGGCATATTTTCATGATCTTCGTGGTCCTCAATACTTCTTTCACAATGTTTAGCATTCAGCTTAATGTTATCAGAAGAAGCATAGTTCTGCATACCTGCTATAATATTTGCAACCACTCTAGTTTTCAGAAGATATTCACTGACTAGCAAAATTTATTGTAAAACTAACTTTTGCTGAAATTATGCTTTCTCTCAAAAATTCCTGTAAACAAACCCTTAACAAGTAGGGCAGCACTGGTTCTTCTTTCCTTTCCTCAATTTGTTTCTGATCATACTCTATTTCTTCTCCCCCTTGTTTTTTTATAATCCACTTTAGCAGAATTTTGAAATTGTTTAAATTAGAATTTAGAAATGCAATTAGAGCAGTTTCGCTTCCAAAGGTCTTCCCTTATTGGCCCTGAACACATGTAAAAGAGCAGCTAACCTATGGATTCTGCTGGGTGGCCTTGATGTTTTTTGATTCAAGAGAGAGTGGTGACGGCAGGGTCAAGAATATGCACCTCCCTGTCAAGTGATTTCACAATCTCCTCAGTCATTTCTATGCATTCTGAAAGTATTGACCTAACCAAACGTAATTAATTTGTGATTTATAATTCCAGGCGATTTATTGTGCTTTGTTCAGGTAATTCATCAAAGCCTAAAAGATGGTGTAGACTCTTCCTACATTCCTCCCCTCACCAGCCTTGCATGCTGTGTCCCAGGGCATTCACTTCAGGGAGGGCAGCTAGGAGGAGTAGCACGTCCAGTCTTTCCTTGGGATATCTTTTGTCTGCAAACAACTTTAGGCTGAGATTTTCTAAGTCACCTATGAGATTTAAATGCACAATTCCCATTAATTGCAATGGGAATTGCATATCTAAATCATCTAGGTGTCTGAAAATTTCAGCCCAGTATCCACTGGGGGATCCATAGGAACCCTGTTGATAGAGACTGCAGGGAAGAAGTGCTGAACGAATGTATCCCTGCTACTTGGCGACTTTTGTTAGAGGAAAGGTTATGGGTGCCTAGCATGAGAGCTGTCCCCGGTGCACACTCTTCCACCGAAGTCTTCAGTAAGGTCTGCACCAACAGAAGCTGATCCAGACCCTGAGTGAATTTGGCTTTTGGCCTGTGTACACTATTTTCATAAAAATTTAAATCTGAAGCACACCAACATGCAGTCTTAACAATGTTCTGCTAAATTCTAATACCAATAAGGTTTCACACTGCATCAATAAATGTAGCTATTAATTATCACCATTATTAAATGTTTATATGATGTCAGTGACCAGAGGCTCCAGTCAGGATTAGGCCCCCATTGTGCTGACCAAAGATATATTAAGTCTCTGTCATGAAGAGCTATATTGGAAGTATTTCACAAATACTACTGTAAATGCAATGACCAATTTTCTGTTGTCATTCTTTTCTTTACAGCAAATTACTGAAGCTATTGTATGATTAAACAGTGCAACTCTAATGGCTTGGAATTACCAAGGAGACTGAAGTAGCAAATGACAATAATACCCTGGAAGTAGGTTAGCATGTCATGTTTGGGGGAGGCTTGCTAGCAACTCCACGAGGCAACAGCTGTTTTCAAGGACATGTGACAAGAAGAAATCTCCTTTGGTAAATATGCAAGTTTCCTGATTTGTTTTCGTTTTGTTGAAAAAAACCCACAACAACATACTTACTAATTTTCAAATATTTTTTTTTAATTAAAATGACAGTTTACAGCTATTTTTAAAAAAGGTCTTCCTTAATAATAGTTAAGAAAGAGCAGGGAGGAGGTTTGTTATGTTTAGATATTTTTAAATGCTATAGTCAGGCTTGTAAAAATGTATTAACATCTTCTAAAATTACTGACTCCATAAATAAACAGTAAGCATGATTTACTAAGCAAGTCATCCGAACTGTGGTACAACCATACATTCTTTTCCCCGTATTTGGTCCGTGAGTTTAATAGGTGGTATATTTCAAAATCATTTACTCATTATGTAGGACACTGATAACATGCCTTCCAGATAAATCTGATGTGGAAGAAAATAGGCGCAGGTCAATAGCGTTCACTGAATTGCAAAACAAAAGACAAAGGACTAGTCACTCAGTGAAATATTAACATTTGCTGCAGCTTTCTCTGTAAACAAGCAGCTGGAAGAAACATTTTTTCAGCTTTTAGTTTTTCTGAAAACATACATATCTGATTTTTCCAAAGTAACCCCCTTGTTTTCTTCTCTATTAAATAATACTAAAATATTCCTCTGGCAAGTCATGGTACTTCAGTGGCAACACTGGTGGGAACCCTACTGTACATAATGCTCCTGAAACAGAAAGTTTATTTTTCTATATTGCACCATCAGACTCTCAATGCTTAACAAATGATGAGCAGTAAAAGTGCCAAAACACTAACAAATGGTGACACAAGGTTAAATGTAGGCTAAAAGTTGATGAGATTACTTGAATATAAAAGATTATGACTGTCATTTTGCAAGAATGCTTGTCTCTAAATTCAAAAGTGAAACAAATGTTAAGAAAATCAGATGTGGAATGTAGTTGAGATTTTCTGTTTCTCTGTTATCCTGTATGCTGGATATTAAATCTCTTAAGAGCAGTGTATTTTAGTCTCTAAAAAGAAACCAGGAGCCATCTTTCTTAATAATTCTGATTAATCACTCTGCACATTAATTTTTAATTACCAGCTTCTGACAAGTTACTCTGCCCACTAATTATCCACAAGGTATGGGCTACTTGCTATTAAGACTAAATATGTTCTAATGATCATAGATATCAAAGTTGCCAGCAAGCTTAAAAAGTTTTCTACTGTGAAAAAAATTGTTGTCAAATATATAGTTGTCAGTTTTGAAAAACAATTATATTCTCCAACTCAGAATATTTATCACACACATGTCATGAATGACCTAGAAGTGACAAGTTACACGCAGATGGCTCATGCATACTTGAATTCTGATTAATACCTTTAAGTAGGGGGAACACATAATATATATTTAGCTCCTGTGTCATCCCTAATATATTTACAACTATAATTAGCACCTTTAACTAATGGATGTCACTGCCACAGCCAAGAAAACACAAAACATCAGGGCATTCATGGCAAAATCCTCCCTTGCAGATTAATCCTGTGTAGAGAAGAAACTCATGAGGCCAGATCTTAGCCTCTATTCCATATACACAAAGCTGATTTAAAGATGGCCTAGGTGGCCAGCTGAGGATTGTATTCGAATAGGAGCAACTCCCTGTGAGTTACTGCAGCCTGGAATAATGTAGGTTATCTAATTCATGCTGGGGATTGAACGCTGGCCCTCAGCAGCTCCAGAGATTTAGTGGGTAATAAAGATGGCCCACAGATTGTCCAGACTGAAATATCAGTCCCTCAAAAGAAGACTTTGAAAGAGTGCTTTCATTAGTTTCCTGTTTTATTAACATCTGCTAAACATTATCGGATTTATCCTCCTTTTAACTGGATTATGAAGAATCTTCTCAGAAATGTGTGTTACATTTCACCTAGTCCATGGGGAGGGAGAACTACAGACCTGCCTCAAACTCTATTTTGATGAATCCTTGACCAAAGCCATTTGTCTAGCACAGTAACTCCATTTTGGACATCTGTAAAGTCATAGAATGAACAAAATTGAGAAGCCATAATCTTAGAAAATTTGAGAAATGGGAGACGTTCTGCTAGATTTTACAATTTATCAGCAAGTCACCATAATGTTGTGCCATCAGTTTATTACCATGAATCTAACTTTTTTCTAGTCAAGCTCCACAAGCCTAGGCTAGAGGTTTTCCAATTTGGGAAAGACTAGTTTTTTGTTGGGATCTATTCTTCAAATCTTGCAGGAAGAGCAACCCCGCAGGAAGAGCACCATATGTTAGGAAGGATCACCTTTCTAGGAGCAGATAGTTTATACTGATGTTTGCAAACCAAACTTTATCTCCTAATTTTGCAGAGGAACCTGAATGCAGAATAATTTCTGCAGTGTTCTGAACAGTCTTCAGCCTTGTTTTTTTAATACTACCTGTTCTCATTTGTCTCTTTTTTTTATACTAAATCTGCCCATTTATTTCTTTGTTCTCAGGATCTGAGCAACTTGTTACTCAGGTGGCTCCAATACCAATGCCTCTTCCTTGCTATCTTGTTGCATAAATGTCTGATGTCCTTTCTTGGTGGGTACACACATTAAACCTGCCACACTGGTATGTTAATAGATAAATGACCCAAAGTATTTGGTTCTGTTGTATATTTTCAGATGCAAACGTTTTTGAGCGGCTCTGAATTTTTCACAATACATCTTCCTATTCTTATTTTCTTAATGGGGAGAGAGAGGAAGGGAAAGCAAAACACAGTGGAGGCCAGTTTCATTCCTTGTGCAAATCCATTGACAGCAGAAGGATTGTGTAATATGCATGTTACCTTGTGTAATATTGCAGCAGGAAAGAAGCAATGGAAAGTTGTATATTATATAAATATCACTCATACAAGTTTGCTGGAGTACACACTTGCATGGCAGGTGTAAAAGAGCACACAAGGTGCGAGGCCATAAGGCCAATCAGGCCCTTGCAGTTGTAGAGTACTTGTTGCAATTTAAAATATATCTGAGTTCTAGCACTGTATACATTCAAAGCAATATCAATAGCCTTTCAGTTGATATAAGCAATGGGGAGAAATATTTATTTATTTATTCAGTATAAGTGGCATCACACCTTTATATACTATATGGCAATGTCCTTGTATTGATTTTGATAGAATTTGGCCGTTTCATAAGATTGCAAAGATCTTTATAAAAGTAATGTTTTAGAATAATAATAATATTTCCCAGATTATATGTACTGTTATTACAAACAATAGAAGCTCCCTTTCTATCACAGAAGGGAGAGTAGGAAAGAAGGCAAAGTACAGTGACCAGTTGTCTCTGAAAAAACAGGGATGTTTCTGTTGTTAGGGCTTGTCCTTGTGTCCCCGTCAGTTTCACCAAGGACAGTTTTGCCCTGGTTTTTGTAACCTCTGCATACAGACTGCCTGCTAGCTGGGTCAGTGACATTGACAACAGGCCATCTGAGAATATATGCATCTCAGGGACCTCCCCAGCAGACCTGTTATATGTTGATACCTTGCCTTTTAGGGTAGAAGGGGGTTTGCTTGGCTGACAAGCAGGCATCATGTTCTCATTCACCACCCAGAACTACAACTCAGAACTAACTGACTTTCTACTATTTGAAATATGGTTTCTTTGCGCAGTGCTCCAAAGAATGGATTATTGCCACGTGAATCCTCTCAGTTTGGTGTTACTTTAACAAGTTGCAATAGCACCACTTGGTCACAAGAGGGAGCTCACATTACTCTAGTGACATCTCAAATAGTAGGAAGTCAGTTCCGTGAAAGCGTCAGGTATTGGCTACTGCCAGAGGCAGGATATTGGACCAACGGCATAAGATTTGTAATTATCCTATCAGATACATTTATTCTTTAAAAATGGTAATTACAAATCTTATGCCATTGGTCCAATATCCTGCCTCTGGCAGTAGCCAATACTTGATGCTTTCATGGAAAAACTCCACCACCACTTACCAAATTTAATGTGTCAGTTCAGTGGTACAATACTGGATGTTTCAATTTCTAACCTAAGAACTTAAATGCTACAAGCAGCGTTAACTCCCTTCCATGCCTCCCCCACTACTGGAGAGGGTAGGTAGATCAGAGCCACAAGGGACAGTAACCCTAGAAAACAGAGCAGAAGACAGGGCCTAAGACCCATAATATTAGTTTTGTTTTTCCTATGGATCTGCAGGTTGATCCTCTTCCCACACTTCTTGTCTGCACCTCTACCCCATTAGAGGTAAATATATGAGGATGCAGAGTCAGAGTACCTAGAGGACTGCTCTAGCCAGCATAATTTAGAGCAGCCCTTAGGTTCAGCCCCTAGTTAAACCAAGGCTCATGTTTCACTCCTACCATGGATCCTCCACTAAATTCAGCTTAGCTATGCCCTGAATATTGCCCAGAATTCTTAATATTCTATTTTATCTCTAATTCTCTTTTATCACTATTAATTGTATGCATTAAAAAGGGAGAATAAAACATAAATGAAGGCCACCCTTCTCCCAACTGCTAATGGCAGCTATACTGGCTGGGTTTACTCTGTTTAGGGGACTTTTTTGTAAAATAAATAAAAATATGGCTCAAGCCCACACCCAGAGCACTACTCCTACTTCCATCTCCGAGAAACTGAAATACAGCTTCCCTGGTCCCCTTTCTAAGTGATTCTTTCCCACTTGTAAGAACTCAGAGTCCTTGGGGACATAAAATCAGAAGTATCTTATTTTATTGGGGAAATGGGGAAAAACAGTAAAAAGACATATGAGAACTTTCTCTCTCTCTCATATTCAGGAAGCTGAACAACCCAAATCAGTGCATCAGGAGTTAGGTTAACCCCAGATCCAAATAATAATCCTCTGATTTACAGAGGTTCAGAACTTAGTCCCATCACAAAACCCACTCATGGGCCCAGTTAGACTCAGTAGCAGTTAAGGGGTAGTTGGCCTCTGCCAGACTGCTCCAGTTCAGAAAGAACCACTTTGTCAGGTCTCCCTTCTATATTAAGCTTGAGTTTTGTTGTTACCAAACCAAAATCCACTATCTGGAAAGTCATGTTAACCCACTCACTTCGGAACACAAATTCCTATGCCCTTTCATCAGAATAGTATTAATAATAGTTGTTTATACAATCAAAACAAACAAAATCCAAGCAACGAAACAAAACTCAGTAGATGGAATTACTGGTAAGCAATGTTATAATTGCTGTAAATGAAGGTAGCCCCAGCTGGTTTCTTCCTTTTTTTCCCTATAGAGGGAACAGAAAGTTCCCTCCCTGTCTTTTGGCTCTTTTCTTACTCCTGTAAGCCCCAGAAAGTTACACAAAACCAATCTAATTAACAACTGAATATTCTTGTACCACACCTGCAGGCCAATGTTTTCTTTAACTCCCTGTTGATAAATTTATGTGACAAGATTGTGCAAACAAACTTGTGTCAATCTATTTTAAAAGCTTCTCTATAATCCCGAAAGTCTGGGCTTCTTCCAGGAACACTCAATATAATGAAGTTGGTCCCCAAGCCAGGTGTGCAGTTGTAAACATGTCTCATGCTGTTAGGACTCATCAGCATGGTACAGTAACCTGGAAATGTGAACAGACACACAATCAGAAAAGGCCTGGAGATTAAAATCCCGTCTATCCTATAACTTTTAACTGAGTTTGAAACCATTCTAAGGCCTGGTCAACTCAAAATTTGGTTTGTGTCCTCAAACAAACATGCCTAATGTTTGTTTTGCCCTTGCTGGTGGTCTAGGCTAGCATGCGGGTGTCTTCCTGTAAGAAGCTCAGCCCACTGATTTTTTGCAGTGTAGATAGGACCCCATATCTTAGTGGCCTGGTTGGTACATTTTGGATAGGTGGAGGACACTCCAGAGTACATTGTTCCACAAGCTGCTGATGTTATTTCATGAGCCTCTCCTCCAGGGACTTTACTCTCTGATGAGGCAATATGAGATAGCTGCCCAGATTTTCACAGTATATATTAATATAAACATGATTAGTAAGCTTGCTAGGTATGAATTCACAGTCATCATATGATCATGTTTTGAAAACTAAAGAAAGAGAATTGCATTCATATAACTCAGCTGTGTTTCCAAGACAGATTCTGATGAAAACAAAAAAAGGTTTTGTTTTTACTGAAATTCTTCCAAAATTTTCAGAGTTACACTAAAAAAACCTGAACATTGAAACTAGAGAAAATTTTCGGCTCCTGAAAACCAAAACACTTTTAGTTTGCGGTTTTTTGATGAAAACGTGAAAATTTAGTCAAAATTGACATTTCCTACAGAAACAAACATTCGGATGAAAAAAAACATTTTTGTCAAAAATGAGTTTGGAATGAAGTAATTCAATTAGCTCTAGGCACAACTGGTTGTAAAACCCTAACACTGCAAGTACAACTGTGTATCTAAAGAGATACTTCCAGGTCAGATTGCTCTACATTAGTAATGAACCTTAACAGCTGTTTCAGTAAACACCGTTCCAATGTGAAAAGACACTTTACATGACAACACTGGATATAGGGAATTATTAACAAAAATCTTGACATTCATTTAGATGTCAGTACTCAATATTCTCTCATGGATGTATCGTACAATGCTATCTAATGTAACAAAAATTTTAAGTTCAGCTTGACTTCTTTAGTCATTTCAGTACTTAGCAGCTGCATTTTTCATGTGCAAACAGACCCCCCACACATTCCCCCCTCTGTGCTTACTTTGTTCACCCGGTGCCAATTATCACCATGTTAAGCTACACACCTCCAATGGTTTTAGCCTCTGACCATTGTGCTGCAGCTTTTAACATCATCTAGACCTACAACAGTATTACACACAAAAAAACTACATTAAAAGGACATTAAGGTTGCAAAGTCAAGCACTCCAAAGTTAGGAAATGCCAGAATTAAGGTTGCCTGTGCAACCTTAATGCAGCCCCCTTGTGCATATGTATTATGGTACAGTCTCTGACTACATGATCACATACTGCTTTTTCCTGACAGCAGAGGAATGGTGACACTTGGAAATCTTGGGTTCCATTCCAGGCTCTGAAGACGTGTGCTCCAGTGGGCCCAGACTCCTCTTCCTCCCAATCTTGATCTCTTCTGCCCAGGCCCCCAACCTGTCCCCATCCCAGTTCTGTCTTTTCCCTATCTCTGGTTCCTTGTCCAAGTCTTACTCTCTTGACCTATCCAGTCCCAGTCTCCCATTCCAGGCCTGGTGTCTGAGTCCCGGTCCCCACCATTACTGCCAGTTTCTCTTCCTCCCCATGTCGGTTCTTAGTGTCTTGCCCCGCTGGTCCCAGTTCACCCCTCCTGCCCAGCCAGTCCCAATTCTCCCCACCCAGTTTCTCATCCAATCTATCTCTCCCCTCCCACCCCGCTGATTCCTTGTCTGTCTCCCCCCATCCCTGGCTACTTTTCCCAGTTTCTTTGCCCAGCTAGTCCCAATTCTGACCCTGCACCACAACCCCTTCTCAGATCTATCTCCCCTCACCCATATTCCCGCCGCACTGGTCTTAGTCCCAGTCTCTTTGTCTAACCAGTTCCAACCCACCTCCTTGCCCCCAGCTCCTTATCCAATCTCAGTGTTCCCAACCATTCTCAGCCTTTCCCCAGCCCTGGCTCCTAGTCTCATTATCCAACCAGTCCCACTCGCCCCCTCTCAGCCACTAGTCCTAGTCTGCTTGTCCAACCAGCCTCAGCAGCCACAACCCTTCCGGCTCCAATTTCCAGCCTCTCCCACTCAGCTCCCAGTCCCAACCTCCCCTCCCCACCCCTTTAAATTCCTAATCCAAGTCTTCCCACTAGCTCCCAGCCCCCTTACCCAACTAGTCCCAGTCCCTCTTCCCACTTCAGCTCTAGTGTCACCAGACTCCTTGTCCCAATCTAGTTCTTTCACTACCCCCAATCCGTCTTTTGTCCTCTCTGCATTCGAATCAGACGGGTTCTTCCTTCACGCTACCTAGGGCACCAGCAAGTTGGGAGGTGTCACCAAGAACACAGTAGAGACAGGCTCCCTGCTGCCAGTTTCTGGACCTGGCCTGGAGCAGCCACTACAGGGAAAATCCTTCTGAACCCCTGTAACCCCTGAGCTGAAGCATGCTCAGTCACTCTGTGAGGGTGGCACATGCACAGTCCAGTCACATCTAGGAGCTATGAGGGG